CTCCTACACTGCTGAGGCCAGCGTCAGCAGCGAGCTCTCACCCTCGGGAATCGTCACAACAAGCCCTGGTAAGGACTCCTCGGGCCACAGGGTGGTTTCGGAGCTGCCACTTGAGAACTCCAGGGCATTAGCATGGCAGCTTCTGGGTACGCGGGATCCATATCCTCCTCGGGACGCGGCGTTACACACGCCAGGGCTTCTACTCCAAAGGCCTTTAAGGCCTGGCACTTAAGGCGTCGCGTCCAAGGAGAACATGAAATCCGCGCGCGAGCAAGAGGGGGGATATGAGTTGGGCGAGCTGGATGAGTGAAGGATGCATCTGGGTTGGCTCTCGTCAAGGCTGCGCTAGGTGATCGTCCCAAATGGGTGGCGATACCGGGGGAGGCTTTTGGGATCTCCGACGCTTGTGGCCTGTAGGTCACAGCAAAGCTCTACCCCTTGCCGTCTTATGCGCCGGCTTTTGCTTTTTCGATTATCTCTGGTTGGATTAGGAACACGGGGCCGGCTATTTCGCTGACGTGGTTTTCTTCTTTGCTTGTCCCTCTCTTACGAATCGCGCATCTTGGGGAAACCCCTGCGGTTCTGCTGTCTGTCCTTACTCGAATGCCCTGCTCGCTGCTGGTGGCGCTACCGGAGACGGCCGTAAGTCTATGGTGGTTCCCTCGCTTGCAGGCATGCCTCATGGTGTGCAGCTGCCCTACACAATTTCTGAGGCGCTGCCTCCCATCTCACCACCGGCGCCACAGCAGCAGCAGCTGCCTTTCGCCGCTCACCACACAATGTCGCCCCCGCAGCAGCAGTACCAGCCCCAACCTCAACACCAGCCCCAATATCAACACCAGTACCAACTCCAGCAGCATCAACATCCACTCCAGCCTCAACACCAGCAGCTCACAACTTTGCAAGCTAGCACTTTGCCGCCGCCGCAGCAGCCCCAACAGCCACAAGCGTGGCATACCTCCCTAGGGCCGATTCTGACGACTCAGGAGCCTATGGCCAGGGCGCAGGTAGCGGCGATGGCGGCTGGCGGCCCCGGGCCCGGCCCC